TATGAGAAAAGTTAATTTAACGCGTACAATTAAAAATAATTTTCCGTTTATATTAGAAGAAGAAATGAATATATATACATATATACATATAATATGTATATTGTACATACCTATGCATTACTTCCATTAATATAAACAGAAAATTAGTTTTAATTGTACACAACTGTTGAACAGATTTTCACTTACGCGCACACACAGCACGCGCGCGCGCGCACACACACATTAAAAATAAAACTTTTAATAAAATTTTAACGATAATTGTCATTATAATTAATAAAATCATCTTAATTTTAACAATATTGATTGCATGCAATCACGATTATAATTTTACCTGAAAATTCCCAAAAATTTGAAATATGAGAATTACGGTTCTTTGTATAAATAATGTAAACATATTGTTACATTGATTAGTTGTATAGACATAAATATATAATTTACAAAAATTTTTGTCATTAATAAAAAGAATTAAAAAAAAGAAATAAAAAAAAAGGATTGTACTATTATTGGATTGGGGAAAGAAAGCTATATTAAACATTTATCAATCAAAATAATATTTATTTAAGACATATTTGTTATAAAAAAATATACATTATAAACTTTATATTATATTTATGATAAAATTACGTATATAATAATCAAATATATAAATGTACAAAACATAATAACCTAAGGTATTAGGTTTATTTTTTTTCCATATCACAGAATAGAATTCCTTGCACACCCTGATAGCACAGAGAGTTCAAAAGAATTCAAAAAGAATTCAGTTGAATGTCATCAATTCTGAGTTCATTTTCAGATGCAACAAGAATTCTTTACAGAAAAAGAATTCTTGCATTTGAAAATGAATTCAGAATTGATAACATATCACTGAATTCTTTTTTAACTCTTTTGTGCTATCTGGGCAGTTTAATTTTTTCTTTTTCTCTCCAATGTGAAGTCCTTGGATATGGAAAAGGAATATAAACCTCTTATTGTCCCTGAAATAATGTCAATTTATGGCGGAAGTGTCTTTGACTTTGTACATTTTTCATCGTTTGTTTTCCAATGTGGTAAAGTCTAATTTTTATATATTTGGAAATAATTGCTTTCATTAAATGTATAATGTGATTTTCTAAAGGATTTTGATCGTGTGAATGTTCCTTTAAATTTAAAAACAAATTATTTGAGTCAATAAATTTTCCAAGAACACAATTTATAAGATAAGTTTGTGTAAATTTGTTTTTCATAAATGTTCCTCCACTTTCTGCTAAAGCGAAACGGACGATTCTTTCTGCTTCATGACAAATTTTCGACACATCAGATGATGGATATTGTAAATTACCGCGGCTTTTTATTTGTATCAAGTTAAGGTTTTCGTCTTTTTTATCATCTGAAGTTAGTGCATTAATACATTCTTCGCAATATAATGATTTTTTGCTGTGAAACGCTTCAACAAATCTACTTACTAATTGATTCTAATATTTCTGTATGTTCATCTGCTATTAAACTTTTCTGCTTAAGTTCTTTAAATATCGTATTAAAGTGTGCAATTCGTTTTTCTTGACGCTTATTTCTTTGCTTTAGTGTTCGCACCAATCGTTTATAATATGCTTTTTGATTACATATTATTTTGCGCAAAAATATTTTTCTAGGTGTATTCCATGTATCCTGTTGCTCTTCGGCACAAACACATGTGGAACAATGTTTTCTTCTTTTTACCAGAATTATATTATCATCTCTTCACTATTACCTCTTTTCTTGCGAGGTGTAGGCGTTTGTATTTGTGTTATTTCCGACTTCAACTATTTAATTGTACATAAAATTAAAATTTTTATTTATTACCATACAAGATATGAAAGTATTCTATCAAATTTTTTCACATTAATATCAAGAGTAAAATTTATTATTTTATAAACAATCATAAAATATAATATTAACATAACAGGCATATCTTCATTGTATTTACATTTAATATATATGAATGTAACTGAAATACTTACTGATAATTCGTCGCTCAAAATAGATTTTGAAATTTTCATAGATGTATTATTTGATTTTGAAATGTCCATTAACATTTCATCTATAGTTTCATTAGCTTCTATAGCTTCATTATTCTCTTGTAAAGTGTTTATCTGTGAATATAATATTTATTACTATATTAATGCAAGAGTAGTGTCCATTTGATCACGCTGCAGTTGACTACCAACCACTCAAAGCACTTGATGGAAAGACCCTATAAGCATCAGTCTCTATGAGTGGTGATCAATTGCAATGTGGTCAAACGGAATGCTCAAAAAAGTACTCACAGTCAAATCATTGTCTACTAATTCCATAGTTGAATTTGTAACTAATGTAACTGTATCACCTTCTGAGATATTTGGCTAAATATAAAATTGATGTTAATGTACTTATCCATACAATCTATCATAAATGTTGCATAATCTAATATTTTTCGTATTAATATTACTTGTCAAATAGATACAATAATAACATTTTGTTCTTTATTGATCTCAGTTTTTCTATAACTTTTATTACTACATCCGATTGCAACACAAAGTGGCATTTTTATTATTTTCCTTTAGTAAAATATAAAATTTTGTAGTGAGCAATAATCAAATAATTATCACTGCGATATTTTTCTTCTTTATTTTCCCTGATAGATTTATGATTTACAAAGGCAGATAAAAAAAATACTATAAAGTATTTATAAAAATCTAATGTCATTGTATATGTCTTATATATGATCTGTGTGTCAATAAGGTTATGCTCCCACCATATTCATGATTGACACACAGTTACTTCATTACTTTACCGCTAGAAAGCAGCATCAGTGTCGCCAAACAATATGGCGGCCCCCTCCTCCCCTAAAATCTTCATTCCCCGCGCCAAAAGTTTCCGTTCAGATATTCATACGTCCATGGGTAGAGCGGACTAAACTGTATCGAAAAGTGCTCTATTATTTTACAATTTTTGCTATAGTTAACGAGATATTAATTACTAAAAATTGTCAAAAATTGGTATTGGAGTAATAATTTTTTACTCAAATACTATTAATTACTTTACAGAAAAACTGCAAGAGAAAAAATTGTTTATTTTCTTTTCATAGAACTTTAAGAATTTTTTCCAAATTTTTTATTAACTTTTTAGTATTGCATTTTCTTATTTTTAACAACATACAAAAATATTAAAAAATTCTGAAAAATTTCAGACAAAATACGTGAAAAATACGTTTTTTAAATTATAATTTAAAAAACGTTTCCGGTGAAACGTTTCTTATTGACGCTTAACGGTTATAAAACATTGGATACGTTTAAGAGGGTAGCACCCAGTTAAACGTTGGACAC